CAATGTGGTTGTATATTTTATTAATCCTTCCATAGCAAGAATTTCCCTCTACAAAGCCATTTCGAACAAATGAATCTCTCTTCCCTGAAATCAATAACAGATTTCCTCTTTTGCCTTCTAGGTGACAAACCAGATTTTCCCAGTTTGGACGTACTCCTACCTGGCGCTCCTTTTCCCCGTCTTCTTGATTACGGACTACGCACGCTACAAGCCCATCATCATCCTGCAGGGCGTCAGCTTCATCATCACATGGCTCTTGCTCCTCTTTGCACACGGAGTGGTGGCCATGCAGGTGGTGGAGTTCTTCTACGGCATGGTGACAGCCACCGAGGTCGCCTATTACGCCTACATCTACAGCGTCGTCAGCACCGAGCACTACCAGAAAGCGACCAGGTACTGCCGCAGCATCACCCTTGCGGCGGCCACCGTTGCTGCAGTGCTGGGACAGCTTCTGGTTTCCTTGGCCCACGTCTCCTACTTCCACCTCAACGCCATTACTTTGGCTTCCCTATCCTTAGCGTTCGCGTGCTCGTTTTTCCTCCCAACGCCCCAGAAGAGTATGTTCTTCCATAAAGACGCTTCCCCAGAACATCTCCACGGAACAGTTAAAAGTCCAGAGTCAAGTACCTCCGGCCCCAACGAGCCCTCCGGCTGCCAGGGGGACGGAGCCCCTGCGCCACCCGACACAAGACCAACACCCGAGCAGCCGGCTGACCAAGCCCAGCCCCAGAATCAGGCACTCAGGGTGCTGGTGCAGCTGTGCTGGGACTTACGGGATTGCTATGGCTCTAGAAAACTTCTTTACTGGTCCCTGTGGTGGGCTCTGGCCACAGCAGGCTTTAACCAGGTTGTGAACTATATCCAAGTGCTGTGGGACTTCAGAGCCCCCTCTCATAGCTCTGCGGTCTATAATGGAGCTGTCGAAGCAATAGCAACTCTTTTGAGTAAGTTAACAAGATAGATTCTTAGACACTGTCTCAAAAGTAGCTTCTAAAGTTCTTTTTAGCAGGTTTTAGTCCACTGCAGATATTTCAGAAAAACAATATATGCTTTGTACAGTCAAGTTCTGTCTTTTGGATGTGCAAAACAGTGAAAATGCAAGCTGTTCTATTTTTCTGTCCAACTGGGGCACCCAGCTTTATCTTATCAGCCCACAAAGAGTGGGCAAGTCACATGGGTCTTGCATCCAGCTGCTAAATTCATTCAGATACACCAATATTTCTTTTGCCAAGGTTATTTTTTTCCAAATAAGCATCACTGTGGTTCCCATAGCAATAGTATCAACTTTTGAAGGAGAGAGGAGCTTTCCATAAATGTTTCATATGAAAAGAATATAAAACTCTCATTAAGGTCTTTCTCTAGTGAAATATTCCTGCACAGCCGGAGGCAAAGAATTTCAGTCATTCCAAGACACTGAGGTTTGTGGAAAGAGTATGAGCTGAATTCATTATGTTACTGGTGGTAACCATTGTTCTTTTGCACCTGAAGCAGTTGTCCACACATTATAAACAATGTAATGTTATTCAAAAGTAACGTCGGGGATACCGCCCTGACTTGGCAGCATTTCACATACTCAGATTTTGCTGCACTAAAGGACTTGCACAAGACATTGGAGTGTGACCAACCGGGTCAGATGTATTTGTCTACAGTGTACTTAATGCTTAAGAGTAATCTGAATCACCAAGGGGAAACCTTAGGAAAGGTATTCCTAAGATAAAAATCAGTCTCATCAGGGTAGACAACTAATACAGATCGCCTGAATCATGCATTAGAAATGCGGAATTCCTGTAGTGCCTCGATGAATTATTCTTAGAATTGCCTTAAGATTTTCAATGTGGAGGTACAGAAGTTTCTGAATTGTGCAAGACCCCTAAGATGCCTAGTCAGATGGCTTATCTTTACAACAGATGTGTCTTTGTAGCAGAGCCACCAGCTGCTAATCAGTGCCTATCCTTTCTCATTTCCCTGAATATACTTACTTGATGCTTCACAAAGTTTCCTTTTTGGCAGTTTAGCCCCTTTATGAGCTGCACAGAAGTCAACTATTAAGCTGGACGGTAAGTTTACTATCTCAGCTGTGAGGTAAACTAGTAGAAGCTGGAAGAATTGTCTCTTTAGCTGTCATAGAGAAGTGTTTTTCCATCTGCCTTTAACCAAATCTGTTCCTAATTTGCTCTGTAGGGATATATGCTGGGACTTTCACCTAAGAAGTGATTCCATCAGATAAAGTGTTATATGAAAGAAGTGCAGTAGAACCACATCAGACTTGTCACCAAGAAAAGAGCAAGAGGGACTTGATTTATGCTGTTCTCTAAAAGCGACTGGTCTTCTGCACAACTTCAGAAATGATTAGAAATACTTTGAAAACACTCCAGATAATTCTACTTAATTATTCAGTGCTGGCTTTTGAAACATGAGGGTGTTAAAACTTCGCTGTACAATAGATACAATATTTGTATGTTCTTCTCTCTTTCTAGGCTCAGTAGCATCTTTAACAGTAGGATATGTGAAAGTGAACTGGGATCTTTTTGGAGAACTGGCTTTGGGAGTCTTCTCTGCGATGGATGCTGGTTGTCTATTTCTCATGCACTTTACTGCCAACATCTGGGCAGGTTATGCCAGCTACCTTGTTTTCAAGGCATGCTATATGCTCCTTATAACAATAGCAACGTAAGTATAAACCCTGACAGTTTGCACAGAACCCGTACAGTCTGCACAATAGTAACAAGATATTTTTAAGTTTATTTTGTACATCCTTCCTCTTATTCAGAGGTAGGTCATCTAATGCTATACATAAGTATCATTGTCTTTAAGCAGTTAAGTGTCCAGTCACATTAGGTTCATCCTTCTAAACAACCATAAAAGAAAAACTATCAGACAGAAGCATGGAAGGTAGATATTGCAAGGACAGATTTCACAACATTGTCAAAGAAATACTGGAAAGGAAATCTACAGGCTGTCAACAAAAATAAGTTGTATACTACCTCCAATGTCAAACTGCAAAGCAAAAAGTGACATCATCATAGAAAAGCTGGTTGGAAGAAATCCATGGTGACCATGCAGCCAGAGCAGAACTCTTGCCAACACCATACCAGGTCATAGTTTTGTCTAGCCATATCTTGAAAGCCTCCAACCATGGAGGCTCTACAGCATGTCTGGGAAACCTGGCCCAGTGCTGCAGTTTCCCTAGGGAAATTTTTATTTTCCCCCCTTATGTCCAACTTGAACCTCTCAGGACATAATTTGTGGCATTACTAAGAGTTTTAAACAAGCCTGCTAAGTGAAGCAGTGCTCAAGCACTCAGAAGAAGCCCTACCAGAATCGCCAAGGGTTATGAGAGCCCAGACCGGAATGACAGGCGAGCAGCTAGATCATCTGGCTGGGACTGGCACAGTCTGAAGGTAAAGAGGGGAAAAAAAAAAAAAAAAAAAAAAAAAAGAAGATTAAAGAGATCTGATATCCTACTGGATAAAGCAGATCACCTGATAATGTGGTTTGGGAAAGAAACACAGACGAGCAACAGTGTTAAAATACACCTAGGTTAGTCAAGACGTTGTTTAGACCAAGCAAACAAATGAAACACCATTTACCCTGTCCTTGTCCTATCGTGTGTATGAATTGTTTCTCTTTACTAATTAAACGGAGAGCGATAGTTACACCGGCACCTTAATGCGGGGTGGGAAGCTGACCTGCCAGTCTCACGTCAGATTCCAGATCGCTGTCAATCTGAGCATGGAGCGCTACGCGTTGATGTTTGGCTTCAACAACTTCCTTGCACTGGTGATTCAGACCATTCTTACAGTAGTTGTAGTGGATTTAAAAGGCCTGGGACTGGACATAGTAATTCAGGTAAGTGCTCTTAACTTACTTCCCATTTACTGCTTAGCCAGGTCATCTTTAAAAATTCACCAAAAAAAAAATTGCAATTCCAAAGGACACGTTAGTTTCCTCTTTCTTCTGCAGAAAACAAGGGATCTTGCTTTTCACTTGTGTGACTTATTCTTCCCTCCTGCCTTTCAGTACAGCATTTAGGGTTATTTACGCTGGACTATGAATTTTTAGAGACAGATGCACCAAACCCTAAATAACCAGGCACTGCTATCTGACCAGCCTTTGCTAGTTAGTAGGACCCTCATTAACATCCTCTCTGCCCAAAACGTCAGGCTGGTTTTCAGACACAATCAACATGACCACATGGTTTGGTATTAGGGAAGTCCAGGACCATAAGAGACAGCTTGAATTACTGAATTACTTCAGTTCAAGCAACAAGGACATCTGCCTTCTTATTCCAGCTCAGGAGTAAGGCTGATTTGTATTCCAACACGAGTAAGAGTCTTTCTGCCTGTAGTCTGGGGACTTTAATAAGGGTAGGATATCTCACATCGCAGCTTCCGTAACTTCAGTCAGCCCAGTTCCACTGGGCTGTTGGAGTCATTTCAAATTGACAACTTCTGCATTTGCCAAATGGTATCTCAGCTAGGACACATTCCT